CGGTCTGCTTCCATAGAGATTACAGCCTTGGAAAGCCGGTGGGGCAGTTCTGCTCTGTCCTGTAGGGTCGCTGTGAGTCAGCGTCAACTCGACGCCTGTGAGGCTTTGTTTTTGTTTTTAACGTGCTGGGTACAGTACTGGATGCCAGTGGGGTGAGCAGAGTGTAGGTTGTGAACACCAAGAGCTAGTTCCAGCCTGAGGGCTCTGTACTCATGATCTGAAGGACTCTGATGTTGTATTACTGACTTCCTTCAGGTCTTGGCTCACATGTCCCCTCAGAGTCGTCCTCACCCTTTCTAAACAGATCCCATGAGCTTCCCCATGCTTCACCAATCACTCTGCCACAGCCATCCTGTCTCTTTCCTTCATAACGGAATCGCTGTGTGAAATGTTCTTACTGTTCAAGTTGTTCCCACACAAGCCATCCCTCCCCCTCCTCCCCAGACTCAGGAACAGTCAGGACGTTGTCTTGTTCAGCACTGTATCCTAGTGCCCACCTGGCTCGTAGAAAACACGATAAAACAGAATGGCTGAGTAAATGGCCTTGTTACTATGCTAGAGTTTAAACTGTGTCTGGTAGGCAGTGTGTTACAGGCCTGGTTCTCTGGAAGCAGACGCTGAGATGGGCTTTGGGTGGGAGATGTTTAATGGGGATCAACACCTGTTGGGGGAAAGGGAGGGCGCAGGATTGGGCAGAGGAAGAAATTAAACGCAGCGCAGGCTCAACAAAGCCTCAGCCAACCTGGAGGAGGGCTCTGGAGTGAGCGTTGCCCCTAAGGGTCTGTCAGGCCTCACCCCATCCTAGGATGTGGGCTGTCTGGGGAGAGTTACCACCACGGACGAGGCTGCTCTCTGCACCAGTCGCAGGCTCTGGGCAGGGAGGGTGGGGGGGGTGCCCCACGCAGCAGATCCCTCCTAGAAAAGGAGCCTGGGCTGCATGTCCCCTCACGTACTGTACTTGGGGACGTGTTGCCAGCAGAGAGTAAAATGACAGGATTTGCAACTTAGAGAAATCACTTTAAAGAAGCAAGACTTCAGAGAAGTATCTATGGTGTGAAACTACCTGGTTTATACCCCACAGAACTGTGTCTCTGTGTCTGCGTGAATGCGAACAGAAAGGTCCACAGTGATCCACGGAACTGAGAATATGGTTGGATGGGGGTGGGTGGTGCAGAGGACATCTTTTTTTTTTCTTCTTGAGAGTATCCTCAGTTTATTTTAAAAATTATTTTAGGAATGATGTGGAGAGTGGGTTGTAGAAGTCTGAGCATGGAGGGCAGGAGACCAGTTAGGAAGTTTTTGCAGTAGTACCGTCCAGAGATTAAGAACTGTGTGTTGTAATACTAGTAGGGCAGGGCCTCTCCTTGGTTTTCTTTTTAAATTTACTAAATGTTGTTCACTAAAAACGTATTCACCCGTTTCTTCAAGAAAAATAGAAAACAAAATTGTATGCAAACCACAAGTGTTGGGTAAAATTATATATAAGAAATTTTTTACTAAATGCCTATTCTTACTGGTGCAAGAATGGACAGTTAGTGGGAGGAAAACTCACCCAGAAACAAGATAAGCATATGCAAGAATCTATACTTACATCAATAGAGGGGATGGATTATCTATCAGATGACATTGGAAAGACTGTTTAGAAAAAAAGAGCCTCCTTACTCAATGAAAAATAAATTCCAAATACATCCAGGAGTTTAAATAAAGCCACAAAAGTATTGGAAGAGAAAATAGGTGCCCATTGTTTAATTTAGAATTAAAGAATACCTTTTTAGGCAAAAACTAGGCAGTAGCTATAATTGTAAAAATTGAGATTCTCTGTAGATCCCAAAACACCACAGGCACCTCTGCTGTAACTCGTATGCGCTGCTTTGTGGACCTGGAGTATAAATACAGCCACATCTGTCTTCCTGTTGTTTATTGCTACAACTGAATGCTAGCAGAGGCCCCCACTTGCCAGATTTTCAGCAATTCAGTGTCTTACCCCCGTGCCTCTCCTTGGCTTGCCCTGGCACTGCTCGGCAGCTTGGGAAGGGCTGGTCGTGCCCAGAACAGTGGCCTGAAGCCGTCTCACACCAGGGCGACTGCCAGTGTGCCTCCAGGCCATGAAACACCCCCCACCCCAAAACACACACACACCCAGAGGTGACCAAGGCCCAGGAGGGGAGTAGACTGTTGAAGGGGCCAGGCCTCTTGATCAGGATAGCAGGGTCCTAGCTCTTCGTTTTCTAGTTGGTTGGCCACACAGAGCTGTTTGTCCAGGCGTGCGGTGTCAGAAGTAGGTTGCATGTAGCCTGTTAGGGACAAGGAACCAGTGTCCTGGCGCTCACGTGTAAACGATCTCACCGATTCTCCTCTCTCTGACTGACTCCCAAGGGTTTTGTTGTTTTTCGTCTCCTTTCTTCCTCAACTTATTACTGAAGTCCTCCTCCAACTACTACTGAGATCATTTTCCGCTAGGACAGAAAAAGTCAGAGTATGTTTTTAATTCATTTTATTTTTTTCATGCCCATACTTTTGGTTTCTCTCAGGAATGGAAAATGATGATACTGCGGTCCAGTATGCAATTGGCCGTTCAGATACAGTGGCCCCTGGCACGGGGATCGACCTAGAGTTCGATGCAGACGTCCAGACCATGTCCCCAGAGGCTTCAGAATACGAAACGTGCTACGTCACATCCCATAAAGGGCCCTGCCGCGTCGCCACCTATAGTAGAGATGGGCAGTTAATAGCGACCGGTTCTGCCGACGCCTCCATAAAGATCCTTGACACGGAGAGGATGTTGGCCAAAAGTGCCATGCCGATAGAGGTGAGAGTGCCAGGTGTGCTGGCTGCTTGCCTTCGTCGTTCAGTCCTGGGTAGGGGGAGAGTGTGGCTTAAACCAGCTTTCTCTTGGCCGGGTTGTAGGTGGTGTGCTCTGATGCTGGCGGGTTTTACAGGTTGAACATCTCTTTGCTCGTTGGTCTAGGTCATGATGAACGAGACTGCACAGCAGAACATGGAAAACCACCCAGTGATTCGCACTCTCTACGACCACGTGGATGAAGTCACGTGTCTCGCTTTCCACCCGACAGAGCAGATTCTGGCCTCTGGCTCAAGGGATTACACTCTGAAATTGTTTGATTATTCCAAACCATCTGCGAAAAGAGCCTTCAAATACATCCAGGTTAGAATCTGGTGTGTGGAGGGGAGCTGTACATTGTATGACTGTTCTTTTTTCAGAGTAGTGCCAGTGATCATCCTATAAAACGATCACAGCGGCAGGGAAGTGTGCCGCAGGTGGCGCGTGAGGGAGACGTTCTGGCATGTCGTGTGCCAGCTCCCTCTGGCCGGCCAGGACTGACTGGCCACAGTTCATGCAACAGGAGGTCAGAATCCATATCACTCTCAAAGGTTGTAAATCCTGTTAAAAACAAAACACTGCCAATTTTGCTGAAGTATAACTTACGGGAATCTAAAAGTTACTCAGTTGAAACTGTCAAGTGTTTGCTGGAAACGTGGCATTGGTACCGTTTTGAATATGCAGTTCAGAAATACTAATGTTTTAGTAGTGACTTCCACTTTAATAATTAAATATAATTTTTTACTCAGTTTTCGGAAGGGCGCCCTGGTGGCACAGTGGTTAAGCGCTCAGCTGCTAATGGAAGGGTCGGCAGTTCGAACCTACCAGCCACTCCGCTGGAGAAAGATGTGGCAGTCTGCTTATGTAAAGATTACAGCCTTGGAAACCCTATGAGGCAGGTCTGCTCTGTCCTACAGGGTTGCTATGAATTGACTCAGTGGCAGTGGGTTTGGTTTTGGGGTTTTTTGTCCACTTTAAAATTTTAGTTTAATTTTTGACTCAGTCTGTGGAGTCCTGTGGCAGATTGAAGCAGTTATGTACACAAGTTTTACGTTCATTTTGTAATCCTACACAAATGCTTCATAGGTGGTGGTTACGGCTCGTAGATAATCTGTCACCTGGTGTTCATATGCAAATAATGAAGCTCACTCCTATGGTTTTTTGGAATAACCTTACCAGTAAATACACAGTTTTAGAAATCTCTGTTCAACCCTGGTGGCATCGTGGTTAAGTGCTCGGCTGCTACCCAGAAGGTCAGCAGTTAGAACCCACCAGCCACTCCGTGGGAGAAAGATATGGCAGTCTGCTTCCGTAAAGGTTTCAGCCTTGAAACCCTATGGGGCAGTTCTACTCTGTCTTCCAGAGTTGCTGTGAGTCAGAACTGAATTGACTCAACAGCAGTGGATTTGGTTTCTTTGGTTTGGGTTCAAAAGATACTTTTGTTTATTCCAGGGAGTACTTTTGTTCTTTCTCAAACCCATATAATATTCGACCGTTGTTTTCTGGATTTGCACGTTTCTTCTGGATTCAGTGTTTGCCAGTTGGTCACCTGTGAATGTCTCTGTTCTAACAGGAGGCTGAGATGCTACGCTCCATCTCGTTCCATCCTTCTGGAGACTTTATACTTGTTGGGACTCAGCATCCTACCCTTCGGCTCTATGACATCAACACATTTCAGTGTTTTGTCTCTTGTAATCCGCAAGATCAACACACGGATGCTATATGTTCCGTTAACTACAACCCTAGTGCCAATATGTACGTAACTGGCAGCAAGGACGGCTGCATCAAATTATGGGATGGTGTTTCCAATCGCTGCATCACGACTTTTGAGAAAGCACATGATGGTGCAGAAGTTTGTTCTGCCATTTTTTCAAAAAATTCTAAATACATTCTCTCAAGCGGAAAAGACTCTGTAGCCAAACTCTGGGAGATCTCGACAGGACGCACGCTGGTCAGATACACAGGTATGTGGAAAACGGATCACTTGGCATCTGTGTAGCGTTTGACAGTTTCCAAAACTCTTAGATGCTTGTTATAGACCAGCACGATAAGACTCTGAGCTTCAGTTAAGAGGAAGCTGAGGCTTAGAGGTTATATAGTTCAGCTAACGCTACAGTTAGTAGGAGGCAGAGCTGGAAATAAAACCAGTTTGCTAACTTTGCTTTTTGCAATCCATCACAGCTCAGTGTAGGCTGGTTTCCATGAAAGTAACACGAAGAACCTGGCAGCCTGTCTGTGGACTGATGGTCTGCCCTCTGCTCACAAAAATGTAAATGTAGTCCAGAGAAAGCCCAGTTAGTACGTCTCAGAAAGTCTACAAGTTCGGGAAAGAAGGGCCAAAAAGGAAGGTCTTGGCCCATTTCTGGGCCCCTCAGACGAAAAACCGAGACCACCTGATAATCTGTCATGGATTCATGTCGGTGTCTCATGACAAAAGCCCCTGTGCTCTTTTTCTGATTGTTTAAATTTACCCTCTCACAGGCAGTCACTGTCCAAGCCTGACTGTTTGCTGGTGAGTGAGTTGCTGAAATACCATGCATGCTGTCTTAGTCTGTTCCTTGGAGCAGCAAAGACTGGAATTTGGTTGTAAAAAGAGCAACTCACCAGAAAACAGCACTGCGGGAAAGGACTCTGCCGTGCCCGGGGCAGTCCCTGTAGGTTAGCAAGAAGAAGATTGAAGGGTTTGTGGCCCTGGAAGCACTAGGGTGCAGCATAACCCACCTGAGATCTGTCTTGTGACCAGTGCTTGCTTCGGGGCCATCTTCCTGACTTCCAGCGTATGTAGTACAACCGCCAGGTCTTAGGAAGAGCTGTTTTTATCATGATTCTTTGTGACATCATTGGAACACTTAATTTTAATGTAGCTATTTTGAAAATCATCTTTAGTCATCAGTATTAAAGGGCTGTGTACTTATGGCAAATAGCAGGTACAAAAGTGATCAGAGTAAAAATGTGAAGGCCCTTCCTTGTTCAGAAGGAGCCACCGCTGTTTTCAAAGACTGGGAGGAGTGTCTGGGTAGATACACAGCAGACTGCTCACAGCCGGTTATCATATTCCTTCTGTTTGACGTGTCTGGGATGTTTTCTGGTGACGTGTTGATGGGTTCAGTGGAGAATTGCAGTTTGCTTTTTCAGAATGGCATTCTGGACATTGTATGCAAGTTCCCTGGTTTTTTCTTTCATACCGTTAAGACCCTTTCGTGTCAGCACATTTGATCTGTGTTTCCAGGTTCGATGTTTAGTTAGAATTCAAGGGGTTCTTGAAATAAGGAAAAAGAAGAACTTTCAATATTAGAAATTTTAACATTAAAAATTAATTTAAAACGCTAAACAAAATGCTGGCCTAGAGGGAAAATACGCAGAGCACATATAATAGACAAGTCCTGGTGGCGCAGTGGTTAAGCGCTCAGCTGCTAGCTGCAGGTCGGCGGTTCAAACCCACCTGTCACTCCGTGGGGGAAAGATGTGGCAGTCTGCTTCCGTAAAGACTCACAGCCTTGGAAACCCTCTGGGGCAGTTCTGCTCTGCCCTACAGGGTCGCCATGAGTCGGAATCAACGCGACAGCAATGGGTTTTGGTTTATAATAGACACACGTCAGACACGGGATTAATGTCTTTATAAGAGGCTTTATAAATAAGAAAAAGATGAGTCCAGATTTGACAGAAAAATGGCCAAGGGACATTGATTCATTTTATAAAAGAAATAAAAATGGTCAGTAAGCACAAGATGACCAAAGTCACTGTGAACCTGAGAAATGAAAATGGAAGTTTCTTTTTTCTTACTAATAAGATTTCAGGAATTAAGATCAATAATATCTGGTATTGATAAGGATTTGGAGAAATTATATGTATTGGTCAGAGTGTCAGTTGGTAAAATATTTCTGAAGGGCAGTTTGTTGTCATGTATCAAAATTTTAAATACATAAAATATTTTCATCCCACTGTATCGTGTCTTAGAAATTCAACCTAAGATAATCGGACAAGCGTATCCACATAAAAGGAGGTTCATCCTAGTGTTACCTGGAGTCATCCAAAGTGAGAAACAACGTAAATGTCCGTGAACTGTCAGCAGGCAGAGCATCATGGCGACGTTGACTGAGTACATCGTAAACGCTGCAAAGCTGTATAAGCATCCCTGTTGTTGTTCGTTGTCATCTAGTTGATTCTGACTCCTGGTGACCCCATTTGTGCAGAGTAGGACTGCTTGCTCCATAGAGTTTTCAAAGCTGTCACCTTTTGGAAGCAGATCGTCAGGCCTGTCTCCTGAGGCACCTCTGGGTGGTTTTAGTCCCCCAACCTTTGGCTAATGGTCAAGCATTTAACCGTTGTATCCTAGAATATCCTGTGGAATAGGTGCTTAATTATACCCACTGAACAGATGAGAAAATTAAGGCTTAGAGGTGTGAAGTAATTTGCCCAAGGTTACATCACTAGTAAGTGTTGAATCCAGATCTCTCTGGCCCAAAAGTTAGCGCTTTTATCCAGTGAGTGATATTGCCTCTTTATAGATCGTTACCACATATTATGGAATGAAAACGCCATATGGTGTGTGCTCTGACATATGTGATTTTATATATGCGTGCACAACACATAGAGATACTTGGGAAGGATTTTCACCAAAATATTGACATAAAATACATATTTTCTTATGGTCCTAAAAAAGGATAAAGCTTCCTTTTGGAGCTATTCACACTCTTAGTCCCAGTAGTTCTATTCCTAGGAATTCCATCCTAAGAACATGAATATTTCTGTACAGAAGATGTTTATCACGACATCACTCGTAATTGAATACAGCCTAAATGCCTAGCAGCAAAATAACTGTTAAGTAATGGTGCATCCAAAGAATGGTATGCTTGGCAGCCAATTAAAAATCCTGGGAAAATGACCCAACATAAAGTTGGTTTAAACCATTATATGATGCGGCACAAGTTACGTATTTTTACGAAATGTGCTTTTATGCCTGGACGTACACTTCAGCAGTAACGGTGTTGCCCTCAGGTGGCGGACCTAAAGGTGGTTTTCTTGTTTATACTTGTTGAGGGTTTCCAGAATTGTACAGTAGCTGTGCATCGCTTTGACAGTTGTCAGATGCTGTTTTCACACTGAAAGGACTACAGCGGAGGGTCTGAGACAGGAAGGTTGCTCTCCCTCCGCCCGCAGGCCCTCACCCTCCCGGTTTCTATGCAGGTGCCGGTCTCAGCGGACGGCAGGTGCACAGGACACAGGCGGTTTTCAACCACACCGAGGACTACGTGCTGCTGCCGGACGAGAGGACCATCAGCCTCTGCTGCTGGGACTCGCGCACGGCCGAGCGCCGGAACCTGCTCTCCCTGGGCCACAACAACATCGTGCGCTGCATTGTGCACTCGCCCACCAACCCCGGCTTCATGACCTGCAGCGACGACTTCCGGGCGCGCTTCTGGTACCGCAGGTCCACCACCGACTGAGCCGGCCCTGCGCGGGCTTCCCTTCTCGAGGACTGCCCCCTGCCTGGCTGGCCCGTCACCAGCCTCCGTAGTAAGTCACTGCACCGTCTGTGGTGGTTGAGCCGCCACCTCTGCAGCCTTCTGAGATTTGTACAAAAGAACCTTTTTTTACCTTGATGCCGAATCATGGTGGAGAAAGCTGGAAACGCAGATCTGTGCAGTTGCTCCACAGTCACTGATAATTACAGGGTGATTTTCATCGGTTTTGTAAACACAGTACTTGCCAGTTGTCTTCAGTCTCTTGACCATTTGAAGAAGGATGGAGTATTGAAGTGCTTTCTAGATCTCAAGTGGCTCTGTCATGGAGAATGTCATTTGGTTATTTTGTCAACTTGTGTGCCTGTTCTCTGCGCCCTCTTTGTATATTTACTTCCTTTCAGAATACGTGTTGGCAGATAAACAGTCCTGCAGCTCTGAGAATCAGGAGTTTTGTGAAACCACGTTAGAGAGTTTATCAATTCTGTCCTAAAATGGCGTCATTCTGATAATAAAGCTCAGATCTGCAACTTCAGCGTTACATAGTTTTTACTTCAATAAAATTAACAGCCAATTATTTCCTGAAGATTTCTAAATACATCTTTCATCATAATCTCTCACCTTATCCTTTCTTTACCTGCTATGCTTACTTTCAGTAAATATATTTCTGATAAGATTATGATTTGGTAAGGAACATAATTGAAAGTTCAGTATAACCAGATCTCATCAAAATTAAGTGTTCCTTCTGTTGTTCTCCAGTGTTGGTCACCTTCACAAATGATTAACATCAACTGACTTTGTTCTTAGGGGATTTGAAGTCTTATTTTTAAGTTCCCTTCAGCATGAGCTGTAACTTCTCATCATTGGTGCACATGGTATCTGCAGCCTTGGAAGAGTTACACAGTCAGCCAACTGATGGACGTTTTCTTTTTCTTAAACTTTTTAGAAGGTGACAATATTTCTATGGTTTCAGCTCCAGCTAGGTCAGAAAATCCTGAACTCCTCATTATAAATATGAGCTTTGGTTTGTATTTATCCCAATAAACAAATACCTAATGACCTGCATCAGGGTATACCTACAAATGTAATCTGGGGTCATTTGATAACAGCAGTAAACAGATGAAAGTGCAAGTATCTGCTTTATACTGTAGGAACTTGAAACTCATCCTGAAGTTATTGCATAAAAATTCTGCGTTGGTCATCACCTTTGGGAGGGACATTTTAACTCCTTGGTCTGTGAAGCCATTTTAAAAGCATTCTTAAAGTGTTAAACCCCAGGGTTCAGGTTTCCAAAGAGCTTACATGTTTTGATACAGAAGACCAAAAACCAAACCCGTTGCCATCGAGTCGATTCCCACTCATAGCAACCCTATAGGACAAGGTAGGACTGTCCCACAGGGTTTCCAAGGAGCCGCTGGTGGATTCAAACTGCAGACCCCTTGGTTAGCGGCTGAGCTTTTAACCACTGCACCATCCAGAGTGAGTTTAAATTGACGGTTTTATTTTGCAACCTGATTCTCCCGTACTTGAACTTGGCCATCTGTGGGTGATGCTTTTGTGAGATTAAAAGAAACTTACTGATTAGGAACAGGGATAACCAGTTCTACCCAAAAAAGTTACGAGCCAAAACTCCCTACTTCCTTTTCTGACTCTTCTTTTGCTTTTAACTTAAACTAAAGCAGAGGTTTGCCGTTTTCCTCATGATTCTGTCTGGCGCATGTACTGCCACATACTAGAACGACCACACTACACTTCTGATGGAGGTGCTGTTGGATCTTTTTAGTTGCTCACAACTGAAAATGCCTACATTTTAGTTTGGGGAGTAGTCTCTGCAATAGGTGTGTAGTTTCAGGATTTCTACTTACAAGATCAAGATATCTTTGCATATGCCCAAAATATTCTTCTTTTATTTTTTTTTTCTTTTTAAAATCATATTGATGTTCTGAGCTGATGTAAACGCCATGCCTGTTACCCAGACTTGATTTCCTCACCTCATTAATGGTACTACACAGTACCTTGGCATTCAAATGGTGACTATTATCCAACTAGAATATGAACTTACAACTTCTGTTATTTTTTAAAGATATGTGTCTTCCGAAATAAACTTTTTATATATAATATTTTAAAGCTAGTTCTTTTTTTTTGGAGCTTAGCTTTGAAGGTTTCCGTATTTGAACATCAGTTCTTACACAGGAGGTATGCCTTTGGTCTGCTACTCTTCACACTATTTCTTCAGTGCTTTGTCCTAGAAGTCAGATTTTTGTAGCTTATCACCTGTAGCTGCGCAGCTTTGCTCTTCTCCCCTCTATGAGTTTAGACTTCGAGCACAGCTCAGTTTCGTGGGACCATTCCGAGAAAGCTACCTTTTCCCTCAGGAAGGGCGGTGTCATGGGGACTCCTGTTACTAACTCCATAAGTAGCAAGGAAAATATTTCTCTTCTGGGCTACAGTTTCCTTTCCTGTGATTAAAGGGCTTAATAAAAAAATCTCCAATATGCACATCAACCAGTGAAGCTCCTTTTTTCTCAATGCACCATGATATAACAGATTTGAGGTACATTTACTTTCAGGGAGGAGACTCCTGTTTCTGAAAATGTGATAGACCAGATACTCTGAGAACTCTTCAGAACAAACCTGGAAAGAATTTGTTTTTAATCTCTGAATAGATAACTGAGCTAGCAAGAAAGGAGGAAATTCCTGAGAGGCAAAAACAAGGCGTAAATTGAGAGGGTTAGTGGAGTATTGGGGCTGACGATTGTACAAAGGGCGTTTGCCAATCTTGTGTAGCCCTGAAGATTTCTGAACAGAAGTCAAAACTTTGGGTCCTCACAGGATGGGAACTTGGATCAAGACCCAGAAAGCCTGGAACCCCAAAGGTGCTCGCCTCAATGGAAGGGTGAACTTGGCAAAAACCCTACCTTGGAGGAAGCTAGGCAACCTGCCTGACTGGGCATCGGCTCAGGGCTTGCAGGGGACGGGGTGGTGGGAGAGGGGAGGGTCTCCTAACCGCAAACTGTCCCTCAGATTTGGAACAATACACGCTACCTTTGTGGCCTGGAAAAAAAGCTGAGAATTTAAAACAACCTCCAGTGGGTAGTGGCCACAAGCGCCTGACACAGGCTGGCACAGATTCTCTGGAAGAAAACATCTTAACCCGGGGTCTCGAGTGATTCTCCCAGACACAGGTTCTAAGAGTCAGGTTCATAGTCATGTATGAGGAAACCCTGGTGGTGAGAATCAGCAGAAACCAGAAGCAACAGAAGGAGACCTAGAAGAATTCAGTGTGCAATTACCAGATGCGGGATATGTATGCTTGTATGCCGTGTCAAGAACTAAACAGGATAACTGACGTGGAAGCAGGGATCAAGAAACTCAACAGTGGCCAAGTGGATCTGAATAAAAGAAAGAACGTTCGGGAAGGTGAACTGACTCCACCTCTGTACAGTGTTCACACCTGATGCTTTTGGCCTTTTCCTGGAGCTTTTCTCTTTTTTGCCTTCCTCCTCCCTTCAGCAGCATTTATTCCTTCTCGAGGGCTTCTTCCCAGCCGTCTTTTGACCAACTGACTCCACCACGTTCTGTCTGCTCTCATCGTGCCTGCTTGCTGGCAGCATCGTTTCCTGCCCGGTTTTTCACGTTCTCCCCGCAGACTCTCAGCCTCCTTCCCTAGCTGTCTGTCCCTTCTTGACACCCGCAGCTTTTCCCTTCCACTCTTTATTTTCAGTTCTTGCTCTGATTCCTTTTCCCTCTCAACCTTGGGATCAAAATCCAGGCTGAAAAACTGAGTCATCACTAATGAGGATGGTGGCTGTGGAATCCCAACCCTGCCTTGTTTTAGTCCTATAATCAGATATTAAGACGCGTTTGTTGGCAATTTAGGAAGTTATGCTTTTGACCAAAGGAGCTATTTTTATGAATTATCTTTAGGCGGTTAAAATCTGCCTGGTAATTTTAAAGGCATGCAGGTTGAGATTTCCTAGCAAGCCTTTAACGCTTTGAGCATTCTGAGTCTGGTGTTCAGCTGCGCTTTGTAACTCCGGTATTGAGTGCTTGTGTTGGGACACTGCCCGTCAAGGAGCTAGACAGCGAAAAGGCCACATGGAAAGAGCATAAAAGCATGCAAAAACAAACAAAACAGCTCCATATACAAAAGCAATTTGCCAACTGATCAGGAGAAAAAAATTAGTCTCAATAATGTTCTCAGTAGGACGTTTGTCAAGAGTATGAGATTACATCACGGAGTCTCCCAGACCCACGCTGTTACCGCCTGCAGACAGCCGGATATTGCAAAAGCCACCCAGCTTCCTAGAATAACCAACTCTTGGAATATTCGTGCACATAAGAGCCTCATTTACCGTAAGAAGTAAATACAAATGGATTGCAACAGAAAGTTTACAACCATTTCTTACATCTTTGATTCAGAAGACTCATAAGGGATCGAATGACAGACTTGAGACGTCAAACCTCATTTACGAAATATCACGCTGCACGTCTGTGGGAATTAGTCTCTGTAACTCCAGGGCCCAATCCAGTTACTTTCGCATGTTTTGTTTTTTGGTCTGGTTAGGGCGTTTCCTTCATATAAGTGACAACAAATTCTCATCTGTATTGTGAACTTCACGGTAAGCCCTTCAGTATTGGGAAGCCATCACAGTTTGCCCAAGTGATGTAAGCTGCCCACACTCGTATCAGTGTGCAGAGTTGGGTTCACGTTCTGGCTCCACCACTTGACTGTGACCTTGAACAAGACTGCCCACCCTTTTTACTTTTTATTACAGAGAGAGTGCTTTAAATTTATACAAAAGTCAACAGGACGATAGAAACAGAAATTGTATCAGTGGTTGCCAGGCGGGGAGGAGGGTTAGGAGTGAGCACCCAGTAGGAGCAGGTTTCTTTTTGGGGTGACAAAAATGTGCTGAAATCAGATAATGGAGATGGTCGCACAACTCTGAATATACTAAAAGCCACTGAATTGTCTGCTTTCAAAGGGTGGATTCTATGCTGTGTGAATTACGTCTTGTTAGGGATGGAATTACGTCCCCAAAAATACGTGTTGTAAATCCTAACCTCTGCTTGTGGTTAAAATCCTGTTTGGGAATGGATTATCTTCGTTATGTTAATGATGCAGGATTAGTGTACGGTGTGTCTTGAGTCAATCTCTTTCAAGATATAAAAGAAAGCCAGTAAAGCAGAGATGGGGGAAGAGAGATGCCAAGCCACATGAAGATGGCCCAGGAGCAGA